TCAAAATTTAACGCTTTTTAAATGGACTTATTAATTGGAGAAAATAAATTAAATTACGTTTTTGGAATAATAAGGTTTGTGTTGTAAATGTGTGTAATTAAAATGTGCAAAAATTTTCTTTATCGAAATATTTAAGTGTTTATTGTTTAGTGTTTATTAAGCAATTATAATTGGCGTGAGAAGACTAAAATATACTACTACACTATATACAAAAATGTATTATGGTATTTTTTTTAAACATTTCAGGACATATTTGAACATTTATCGAGTCTCAAACTAAGTGAAGCTTTTACTATGGTAACTGATAAACATAATTATCTATGTGCTACAGACCTCTGAAATATTTGTCTCGTCTTAAACTGTTGCAGTGATTAAAAATTTGTCGGACGCGTCTAGTCTCGCCCCATGGTTTATCCTAAATGTAGGAGATGTTGTAAAGAGCAATAAATTTTCTCCAAGTTACAGAGCTTATTTTTTTTTGTTCAATGAAATTGCTTCATACATTTTGGTTCTAAAGAGAAATCAAAAATCTCAATGTTATAGAGAAAAAAGGTTATTTTGAAATAAAATTATTTCGTAAATTTTGATGATTTTTAACTTTGTTTTCAATTCCCGTCTTTTCGAACACTGGATCCACGCTAGAAACGGTCAACACGGTCACGCACAAACGTCAAAAGCTGCAACTGCGAATATAATAAACAACTAAACGCGATAAAATCTATCAACGTTATATTTAACATTGTGTCTCGTAAGCACAAGTAATTGTTAAATTAAGCCTTTTAGAGAAAGAACACAAAGCGACAGGTTAGGATTTGAATGGTTACAAGAGGTGTCACAGACCTCTGTCGTGAAACTCAAAGGTTTTGGATTTGAGTGATACAAGATACGTCAGAGACCTCTGTCGCGAACTCAAGTCATAGGTAGAACGAAACGAACTTGTCCAAACTGAAAAAGAGAGGTCCGAACGGACATCCAAAAATTCTCGAATTCCCACGAAGGAGCAAGGAACCGTGTCGTGCGAGACGATATTGAAGACGTTGCGACCACCAGAGCGTGGCTTCACACGCTCGTGTGTGAATAAACGCTAGCCGAGATGAGCGGACTATGGTATTCGATGCTCTACCATTTTTTTTTTTCTATTAGGAAATTTAACATTTTACCTCTTGCGGTAAATATAAAAGAATACTGTGTATATAAAACAACTACTAACTATTCCGAACATACTCCTATAACCGAACATATTCCTATAACCGAATCTTCAACGTATAACGCATTTCCATTCGTTGATTGACAGAAGGAATAATACGAAATAGCTTAACTTAGCGGCAGAGCTGTTTCACCAAGTTATTGATCAAAAAAATCCTGAAAAAGCGTTTTTCATATTTTTATTGTATTTTATACGTTAAATATTCTGTAAGCACATATGAATATTCAATAAAATTGTGGTAAAGGAAATATATACAAGGGCTTGGTCATTCTCTAATTAATTAACCCTCTCAGACCTCACCTTTAAGACTGAATTGATTGGCATGAAACAATGAAATGATTCATAATTGTTTTTGTTCGGGAACGTTTCAGTGCCTGTGACTATGCCTGTGGACTATCGGATTGTCAGTACTCGCTGGGCTTACGCTATAGTCCCACGCGTAGACTTTCACATATCTTCTAAATATTATATTTTTTTTATTAAGGATCCAAGAACAATCCGATAATAGTCCCCGAAATCGGACTTTCTTCAAAGCTTTCCTTGCTTTTACTTCTCCTTTGCGACCATTAGTCACAAAAGTGACTCTACGCATGGATGGGTCACAACTAGCCCCCTTTCGCAGTTCCCACGATGACCTGACCCGGTAATTTATTGGCCCTTGTGTAACGCCTTAGGAACGACTACCTGTGACCGCAGGTGCACCTTAAGAAATGAGGGCTGGCATGCTTCCTGACTGCTCTGTTAATTATGAACACGCTTAATTTATTTTTTTAGTTAAAAATATGATAAAACAGAAAAAAGGTTGGATAAAACTAGTTTATGGGTTTCATAACGGTTTATATCTTTATTACAAACTATTCGCTTAAATAACGAAGAAATTATTATCAAAATGTTTTCCTAAACGTAAAATCGTTCAAAAATATCAACAAACACGAAACCATTTCATATCAATTAATTTAATCATATTATATAAACATTCATAATTTAACAGATTGCTAGTATAATTCAATACAAACTAACAGTATAGAAAAAAAAGTAGCAGTACTACAATTAATAATAAACGTTTTTTTTAAACTAAAAAATACATTTTAAGACTTTTTTGATATTTTGAAGGTCAGTCCTTTTTCAGAATTACTTGAATGGGACATTTATTTTTATTTGTAGTTCACAAAAACTACACGTTCGAAACAAAAACACAAAAATTAAAATTAATGTTAAAATTTCAAATGAAAATTAGAAAAATGGAATAAGTTTAATAAAATGGTCGAATAAAAACGTCGCTATTATGGTAGAAAATTACTTGAACTAGTGAGTGCAGACATTTATTGTTTAATTTTTCATACGCATCGTTTAAAACGTTGGCAGCCCTGTGCCCACTGACCGGGCACTGTTGTGTGATTTTCTTAAGTCGCGGACACATGAGGTCATAGTTAAGTCAGTAAAAACTTAAAGGGGCGTTATGGGAACTGAGCACGGTAACATCACCGTATAATGTTCATAAAGCTTTACCGACCCGTAATGTGGCGCTTTAGAATATATTATCAACGCTTATTGCGGTCGCAATTAAACGTCTCCGTCTTATTCATGTTTCTGGGAGAATCTATTCCGTTACAGGTTTTTCTTTGGAATCAAGAGATAATTGAGTTGTATTTTCGAAATTAAATATTTTATATCGATACGATTTGTTTATATGGTAGTTAGTTTGATAATATCTTTAGATGGAAATTGTAATGATTTCTCGAGAAAGTAGACATTTTTGTAAAAAAAAGTGGCTGTATTCTTATTTAAAAAAATAATTGACCGCCTTTGGAGGTGATGGATGGTTAGATATCATAAGACAGACGGATATTTTATAATCAATCTAAGTTAATTTTTCGAATACTTAACGGTAGTTGTCCTTGTGCTAAAAAGCAAAAAGGGAAGAATTGCGAGATAGTGCATGTCCAATAATTTAGCTACCCTCACTCGTAAACGTGCTTTTGCCAATGTACGCAATTGTGCGATGACGAGTTTTGCAAATATTTTTTTGTTCTAGATCCAGCTCTGTCGTGTTTGAATTAATTTCTGTTACAGGAGATCGTTTCCTTAGTATGTCTGTTAACAATAAAATTGTATTGTTTAATTTACAAAATTTAAAGGACGTATTATATTTAGGTATTGTGTTCGTGATTCAACCATTGTTTTGCTTGTAAACCGAACAAAAACCACCTACGAGGGGAGGAATGGTGGCGCGGAATTGTGTTTTGTCACGGAAGAATCTGTACGGGTAATTAAATGGAGTTCAGGTAAAAACAGTATAATTATGAGCAACTCCGCAGTATCATAATGCGATGCAAAAGGATACGCTAGAGGAGCATGTGAATTATCATTAGAAAAACCGTAATGGCACCATCTATTGTCTCATCAAGGATAACCTGTTTTTACTGGATTACGCAAACTGATTGTTACGGACTATAAGTTTCCGTGATTGAGAAAACACTATTGACGACGTACTTATGTTTTAATATTGTTACCCTGAACGGCAATTTAATAATGATAATTAATATGGCATGCCTGTCGATTGCGAATGTATAAGTTGATGGCGTAATGAGTTTCATGCAATATTACTCTGGTGCAGTTTTAGTAAGCAAATTACGTAAGTATCCAAATTTCTATATATGATCAACTTGTGTTCGAATGCCGTTACTTTCATCTACGAAATAGTAATATTATAGTTTCACTTCTAATTATAAACTTCTTAATTTTCCAAGACAATTGAAAAAAAAATTGTAAATGTAAGAAGAAATAAAAAATACTAATGAACCACTGTATTTGTCCTGCAATAGGACTACAGTATAAGCGGGTACGACACCAACTCCTACCTTGATCTAAGTGAAGATAATGGATAATCGATATTCTACTCGCTTTTCAGTCAAATCAAATCAAATCAAAAATATTTTTGTTCAAATAGACGCTTGCGCATTCTTATGAATTGTCAAATTTTACATAAAAATTATGTATAGGTTCGTAAGGTACCACCGGTTCGGAAAGCAGTTTCTGCTGAGAAGAGAACGGCAAGAAACTCAACAGTTGCTCTGTTTCAAAAATATCAATTTACAATATAACATACAGGTATATTAGTCTTATTGAAATGAACTATCTTAGTCAATTGAACTATCCAAAAATTTTTTACAGTAGTGTAGTAGTTGACACATTCGTGACAATCTATATCCTTTTCCGAAGCGGCAGTAGTATTTTGACAATCAATAAGTACATGTAATGCTTCTATAATGGATAAAGAATAGCAATTTAAACTTGAATGTGAATTTGATTATTTGCATAGTATCTGAATATACATACATACAAAGGATGAAAATACCCAATTACTTATAATTTGCGAGAGATTACACTGTTTGCGCGATTTCCTTATTTAATATCAACGCGTTAGTTACCGCTGTGTCAATAAACATGTGCCTGTGAATTGATTTACGAATTGCACCAAACTCCGATCAACCTGCGACCCGGTATTCCCACGTCCACGCTTCAAGAACCCCGACTTTTCTGCCCCGGTGCACATTGAACATGTCTTGAAATCTCTTAATGAACTATGTTGTTACCCGAATGTACAGCATTGTATTCATATTGACTTCAGAATAACGTCCCAACAAGATAATTTGAAAAGAAAAATATTAAAAACACTTTTTAAACATTATATTAATGGTAATAATGAAAATGATTATAATTTCGGAAACTTTAATACCTACTGCTTCTAGAGATTCCTATGTAAAGAAATAAGTGTTGGAAGTTGTCCTACCTTTATATGTGTCATCCGATGGTAGTACAAATTGGAGCTGGCTGTGAACCTCTTGCCGCAGTGTTGACATTGATGTGGTTTTTCTCCCGAGTGTATCCTTCTATGCGTATTCAGACTACTCGACGTGCTGAAGCCTTTGTTGCAAACCATACACACGTGGGGTTTTTCACCTACGACAAGTATTTATATATGTTGAAAAAAATACTTTTACATACCCATATAATTATGATAAGAAAGGAGAAGCTGACAGGAGATGTAAGAAATTATAAGTGTGTTCATATCACGCGTAGTCAGACTGATACTGCTAAATTTAATTGACACGTGCGTGAACGGTGATAGCGAACAAATTCTCATAGTGAAACTATTGTAAATATTTGCCCGTGAACTTCAATGTAAGTATTATTCTACAGTAGAGCTACACAAACTGTTTTTTGGTACACTAGCTAGGTGTTTGGAAGTTTGCTCGTCCGGAAAACTACAACGTTTTACGAAAAGCTGGCGTCAACTAAAAGTATTTGTACATTTACATTTAGTCAGGTGAGTTTATTGGAGGTCCGCTCAAAGGACTGTTAGTTATAGAGACTGTGGCAGGGCAAAGTAGTGGCTCACATAATACAAGCAATTTTTTTTCTTCTTTATATAACCTGCTACTTAGCAATCTTTATCTTCCAAACAATAATCTAATAAGCTGTCGGATTTTCGAGCTGAGACATGCACACATTGGTGCAATCCTCATTTTTGGTCTTCGAATCTTGTCGCTAGTGCTGGTATACTGTTTCTCTTGAGGCGAAAGAATCTTAGGCTGCCCACTCCTTTTAGTTTGGCAGCCAGCTCGGTCCAATTTGGCTTGATAATTTTTGCTATTTAACTCAATTTCTTCCTTCACAGTTCGCAGATTGAAATCTAGGTTCACATATTAATTGATTACGTGTGGTGGAATGTTGAACATGACTCTCATTGTTTTGCTTTGAAACCGTTCAAGGATTTCGATATTGCTATTACTGGCTGTGCCCCAGAGCTGAATGCCATAAGTCCATACTGTCAACCCACCAGCATGAAGCATTATATGTTCACGTTTCGTTCAATAGACCACTTTTTTTGAAGATACCCGAAGCACATGTGGCCTCTCAAATGTTGTATATTTCCATGGGCAGCGGTAATCACTTAAAATAACCCATTCACATAAAAAACACATCTGCAATCCTTTCGGAGTTATAGATATTTATGGGTTTCGATAGTCACTTATAATGAGATGAAACGCTTGCTCGTTTGCCGCCACTTCTATTAAAAAAGGTCAATTACTTACCAGTGTGCGTCCGCATATGCCTCTTCAGAAGGGAGGGTCGATCAAACGCTTTCCCACACACTTCGCATGGTAGCAGCGCCCTCTCGGATTTCGCAGGCCGCCTTTGAATTTTTGGGGTCATTTCCAGGAGGTCAGTGGAGGAGCCGACTGACGACGAGGTCAGGGAGTCGCCCGACACCGATTTTCGTTCGTCCTCGGCGCCCGATGGTGGCGATATGGGCAGAAGGACGCGAGATAACAGGGAAGTGGACAGGTCTAATGGAGAATCTGGGGATGAAAACGTACGTTGTAACACGGACATGGACACACAATAGATTTGTGTGCTGCGTATAATTTAAAATGAGTTATTAGAGTCAAATATAAACTTAAATATATGCTAATATTTTCAACTCTAAAATCCTCTGTATGTTTCTAAACAATGTGAATGGCCTCGCATAGATATTTAAATTCCTTTTGCACGTATGTAAACTCGTTTTCAGTTCTCGGATTGCAGTCTATGATAGTATATTGACTGCAATATTAGGCTTAACATCCTCAAATCATTGTGACGTGCGCTAGTTTCCATTTTTGTATTTGTTGCACGATATGATTTTTGCCAGTGATTACCTACGGAACCGAGACCGAGACACTGCTGGCCGTATGAGGAAGCTTAAAGTCGCTCAGCGAGCTATGGAGCGGGCTATGCTCGCTATTTCTCTGCGTGATAGATTTCGTAACGAAGACATTCGCAGTAGAACCAATGAAGTTGAAATAATGATGATGATGACGATCGTGCAAAATCAATGTCTCGAAAGTTGATCGGCATTAGATGTTGATGGCTGTCCCTGTTTTCTTTTACTGGACAATTGTTTAGAATGCGTATCTCTTTCTTGCTTGAAATTAAATCGATCGCTCAACGCTCAAACAGAGGGAATAAATACAAAAAAATGATGACGTAACAAGAAAAATACTTATTTAACATTCAACTCCGAGACTTCAAGAGAACCGCACAATATGCATGATGTTTGGAGATTGCACCACATAAAAAGTCCATCGAAATTAAAACTACCATATGAAGGGATGCACGAACATAAGTCGATGAATCACTTCACGGATTTATATAATTGAGACGATACTTTGTCGTTAAAAACTCGCCCCAATCAGAGCGGGGCATAATGAGTGAATTAATTGACAACCGTAAAAGCGTTATTGTGGAAGTGTAGACAATTTATGTTTATTGTGCTCGGAATTTTCGTGAGCACGTCTCGAACTTTCGAAGCTTCGACACGCGATTTGAATCGACTCGAACGCGAAATGTCGGGTTGACAAGAAATCTGGCATTTGTTAATGTAATTTTTCGATTATCGCTTTCGAGCACTTTTTGCAAGAGATTGACGGATGTTTGTATTCGATATATTCGTATCTGTACGCATATAGTTTTTTTTGTTTTGTTGCGCACGAGTTCAGTTGAGTTTTGTTGCGCACGCTTGTGTTGGTTTCCATAGTGTTAAAACTGCGAAAAATTAATGTCTACGGCTTAGATAATTATTTTGGGTATTTCCTAGTACGTATTTTTTTTCTGAATTTGCAGTGTTGGAGCACCATAAACTACATAGCCCAAAATGACATAATTGCTTTATATGAAAAGTAAAAATATCAAACGTGACAAAATATTTGACGGCTGTGGTTGAAATAGTTGAATTATATATATCTGTTATTCGTTTCTTCATTTTGACTTGATCCAAAAGTATTGAGATTATTTTAAAAACAGTCAGTAGTAATGTAACCTTACCGAAGTAAAAGACTTTTCATAAAACTCCAACTGGTGTTCGATAACTAGCTATTATAAATTCTTACTTATAACATTATATTATATAGACAGAGTTTTATACCGATTTGTTGATAAATGGGGCGAAGTGTACAGATTTTATCGTCCGGATGAATAGTCGCTTCTAGTCTGCACTATTTGTTTAACTGATAAACGTTCTATTTATCCTTTCATCTAATGATAGGTAAATCCGGCTTGCGAGCGCCATATTGAGTTTCCGATGATTACTCGACATCACTAAATAAATTCAAGATTCTACAGTATAGTAAGATGTTCAGGATTTATAAAGGATGAATTCTGATTTATGTATATTTCAAACTTACATTGACAATAATTTTATTTTATTATGTTATTGCTATTATTTATTTTTATATTTTATAGAGATGAATTGGTGTGAAATAAATAATAAACAGCTTGTGATGTTGCGAAAATGGCTGAAAACTAATACGGCTCCATAAGAGTTTACTGTAAAACAGTTTTAATACTCTCGCATCTCGTGTGATATAATATAGAACAGAATGCTAAGCTTATTTCAGACGGTAACCGATATTAACATTAAAATTTTTTGATAAATTTTTTTTTTTCACTTTTTTTCTTGCATTTAGCAACAAATCACATCGTTTCAAAAGTAACAGAAGATTGTAAAGTGTTACGTTTAATGCAAAAATAATGGATTATTCAATGTTACCATCTAATGTAGGGTACACTTTTATTTCTACTTAAGGCTAAGTAAGGGTAATACTTTTATTTATGTTAAACATATACCCTCTATTAATCATTTTTATGTGAGAAAATGACAATCGGGGTGGAGAATCGGGGGAAAATGACAATAACCACCACCCATGGACATTCGCAACACCCGTAGGGTTGCCACCTTCTAATACGCCTCAAAAAAGCAACCGCTGTCTCATCCTTTCATTCGACCGAACTTTACTCAAAATCACTCCTGACGTGAAATGTTAATATCACTGTCTGAACTAGTCACCTGAGTAGTACACTTCTCACATTGTAAGACACTAATTTATTATTTAAGTTAAACATAAACTTATTGCATCATGTAACATAAATGTAACATTTCATACAGTGTATTGAATTCCGGCGTATTGTTCATTATACTTAATGTAGTATTCTATAACTGTCTCACTGCGGTATATATTATTCTGAGATATATCAAAGTGTCCTCATAGATATCATAAAATATTTTTAAAAAACATAAACAACAATTTTGTGGAGTATTAACAGCATTACTGGATGAGAATTTTGTACGGTTCGCATTACTTTTTAATCTTACATACATATTACAAAACAAAGTCGTCCCGCTGCCTGTCTGTCCCTATGTATCCTTAGATCTTTAAAACTACGCAACGGTTCTTGATGTGGATTTTTTACTAGATAGAGTGACTCGAGATGAAGGTTTATGTATAATATATTGCACCCGTGCGAAGGCGAGGCGGGTTGTAAGTCATTAAATAAATACTACTGATACACCAATTTTACATACATTTTCATTAAATTAACTTGCTAAAGAATGTGCTAAAATTTAGAGAGTGAGCTAGTCCTGGATTAAAAGGTTAACACAGTAATTATAACGTAGCGGAAGCGCCGGACATTGGAAATTGGCGGTAAACGATTTATCGAAGCCGAATTAAGTTTCTAAACATTTCATTGGACGTCTTAATCTCCTCTGCCGTCCGAATCGATTGACAAATAGCGGCCCTGGCGTTATTTATTCAAAAACGCTACCGCGATCAGCGAACGTCGAACGTTAAAAATCGCTTCGCATTAGAGCGATAGCACGTTGTAAATCACGCGGCGACAACGCAACGTCCCGCGATGTCCGCTGCCTTACGGCGCGATAAAAAAGCAATCACGAAACGCGCTACTACCGAAACGCGACGTCACTAAGAGCGAGTGTCGATCGCCCTTTGATCTCGCCGCCCCGGCTCAAGTGTCCAAGTAAAATTAAGCAGTAAGACTCCAGGTTGTGGAGTGGGCGTGATTGATTCGACTAAACTAGAGCGTTCGTAATTTTGGACACGACACTATGCGTGCGTCGCGTCGATTCGATAGAGGAACGATTGATTGCGGGCGAGGTTTCACATTGGTGCACCGCCGCGGAAGTAGCATAATTATCCACTTTTTACGATCTTCCTAATGCTCGAACTGTCCGCTTCATAAGATACCTATATCAGCGGAGATAATTACGTTAAAATCGGCCTGAAAAACGGAACTGATCAAATTTTCAGATACTTAAACAGCAAACCTTGTTTACAAAAATGTTTAGCAAAACGTCTGATTGTCTCAACAATATATCGCTTAAATATCATTAATACGAAAGTGTTTGTGTATGTTTGCTTTTTAAGTTTTCCACGAAGCATCTGCCGAACAGATTAAAAATACTGGACCCAGCTAATAATTAGGATTAACACCTTTTTGAACGGAAACACACGAGCGTGTCTTGTGAAAATATTTAAAAACGGTTACACATAAAATGTACCATTATTAGTCGCTTCGATAGTACCAACGAGTTAGTACATTCAAGGCCCTATCTCGTCGCGTAAAAAGGCTTTCATAAAAGTCATCGACTTTAACGCCTAACGAGGCCGCGCGTCTATCGCGCCTCGCAATCAAATGTCATCGCGCGTCTCGTAAAACAATCTCAAGATACTCCGTTCGCATGCCGTATCAACGTGCGAAAATGTTCGCAGATAATAAATCGATCCCTTTCTATTTGCCGCCCGAATGCGGCATTAGTTTCCATAATGTTAAACGAGGCTCGAGATCTTTTCAATTTTGTATGTCGTTGTCTTTTAATATAAATCTTGAATTCTATTAAAGAGTGATTTAACGGGCAATTCTATTTTTAGTTATCTTTTTAACCCTAAAGTCTGTGCGAGAAATGACGATTAAGTAAAGATTGTCCACATACATATTTAAGAAGTTATTCAATACCACATACATATTCCACATACATATTTAATGTTATTCAATACCACATACATATTCCTAAGCTACATAAAATTTTAAACCTAGATAGGAAAATTACTCTTGATATCTACAATCTTATTTTGTCCACGTTGTTTGCTATTTCCATTTGTTTTATAATTGGTTTTTCAAGATTTTGACACGTTTTCTTCAAGAAGTGCTAACTCTTTGGACCTATTATGATTGGAAATCTTTATGTCATTATACAAAGTTATGTAATACCTTCCAATATAGAGTCCATTGTCTGTCTGTATAAATTGTTCCTCATCCTGACAAAGAAGAGTTCCTCAGGCCGCTCCGGTAGGAAGTAAACTATGAGTTCAGTATGTGGCGATACAGGTTTCACAGCTTCGTACACCGGTTCGCCCTTTATTTTGGTGCATACTAAATTTACCTAAAACAAGTTGTTATATTTATATTAACATCATACAACAATCATCATAGACCTGCGTTGACACTGTTCAGAAGTCTGCCACGTGATAGTGAAGCCATTCAAAATTATAGCCTTTATGAAAAGCCACACAATGTTATATAAAGCCTTATCACAGTCCACAGATTTGTTTTTAAAACCAGTCAAAAAAGTAAAGTCTATATTTGTCCCACTGCTGGGCAAATCTTTTCTGTACAGTGGGGGTTAGGGCATAGGCCACCACGCGACCCCACCGTGGATGGGGACTTACTTTAGACATAAAATATTTTTTCTTATTATTATTCCGACTATATGCAGGTTTCATCACGATGTTTTCCTTCACCACGGCACACGTGATGAATCAGAACTTAAAATTGTATTAAAACTTGTAGAAAAATTAAAAATTAAAATTGTAATTAATAATTATATTATACATTAATAATTTCATTGGCTAATAATACACATTGGTAATTTCACTATCTCGGTGGCGTCGGCACAACATATGAATCATATTGTAAACACACTAAGAATATTGAATTAAATGCGAGCGCTCTATAATTGAGCTATCACGGCTTGGAAGAAAACTCTAATGTTTCGTACCAAAACTACAATGGAATTAGGTCGTCTTTTGCGAAGACCCCTTAAAAACAACACTGTCTATAAAACTGCATCATAAACGAAATCATAAAATATTAAATAAAAAAATTAGCTAAAATTTGTGTCATACAATATAGTCATACCATATAATTTCAATCACAATTTTATTGAATTAGATGAATTATAATGTTACTACAATACTTACTTGTGGTCCATAGTTCTCTGAGACTCGGAGAAACCTGACCCAGTTACAATGCCGTGCTTGGATCCCCCCAGAAGTACATACTTCGTCGAAAAGCCCGAACCGATGACGAATCTGCAACAAAATTGGAGAGGCATTGAATTTTTTACGATATTTCACCACCAGTAGAAAAAATGATACTTGTGAAGTTATGAATGCACTTTCATTAATTTGTCACGTGTTAGGATTTTTTACAGTTTTTTTGCTTTATTTTTATTGTGTGAAAAGGGGGCGAGTGAGCTGGTGACATTTGCAACATTCGTAGGGTTGGAAATGCGTTGCCACGTTAATAAAGTGGGCCCCGGCTACCTCACTCACCAGAAGAAACGCAGAAGTAATTCCATTTAACGCCGGCCTTCTGTGAGGTCGTGCTACTTACTCGGATGGTCCTACATCCGTGGACATACATACATACATATTTAAATCTAAAAATATTAATATATGTGTGATATATAAATATCAAGCGATTTATTTTCAAATTAATAATACTTGAATTACAGCAATCGAAGCATTAACTTCCGCGATTCCAAACTGTCGGTATAAACTTAACCAGACGTCCTTTTTATCTCGAAACGCTCTCCCATACCCGTCCATAAACGTTTAATTTCCCCATCCCTTATCTTAATTCGCGGAGATATACCTTAAATAATGATTCGCATCAAACGCGCCGCGGGTGGAAATTATGCGAATGTATCTGTTATCTCGTAATCAATAAGGTTTTCGTTTAATATCATCGAGTATTATAAACGAAGCGATACAAGTGCAATACGCTTGCAATAGCTCCGCGGTGATAACAGGTATTAATCGTCTCCATTTCTCTGAAAGCTGTTCGGAATAGATTATGGTGATTTTTACGCAGACGCGCCAGGCTTGTGTTCTTAATTATTTTACCTATAAACACTAAACGTTAACTATTCATCAGTGACTAACCATTATGCAATTTATGGTGAACGTTTAGCTCAGAACCGTTTTGAACTAAATATGTGATTAGAAGGCAAACAAATGTAATTTAAATTACTTAACATTGTATTAATATTAAATTTTAAATGCCTTTGACTTCTAATATATAAAATTCTCGTGTCACGGTGTTTGTAATTGAAGTCCTCCGAAACGGCTCGACCGATTTTCATGAATTTTTGTGTGCATATTGGCCAGGGTAGAGAATCAGACAACATCTATTTTTCATCCCCCTAATGTCAAATATTTTTTTCTACCCTATAAATTCCTTTGAAATAATTTACGCGGCAAGAAAACATTTGCTGGGTCACCTAGTAATGTATAGATTTTAAATGTTCCATAATATAACGTGACAAGAAAAAGTTTTTATATACTACCTGCAAACATACTATAACTTTTATGCCACAACATCAGAAACAGCGCTTAGAAATCTGAGTGAGTTTAACATCCGAGTCTTCAACAAATGTAAAGCATATTTTTTGTTACATATTATACCAAAACATTTAGTAACACCTAACCTAAGAATTCCAAGTCCGACGTATAGCAAGCTGCGAAGTAGTTCAGAGCTAAATTTACCTATTTACCGATTAGGGAAGATTTGGAAACACAGACGTATAACCAAGAATACAAAGGTTTGTCTAATGTCTGGTATTTCCGATCTCTCTGTATGGGGCTGAAACACGATCACCGGACGATTGATGCCTTGGAGATGTGGTGTTGAAGACGACTGTTGAAAATTCCGTGAACAGTGTTTCGGACTAATGTTTCTATCCTCAAAGAACTTCGTATACAAAATAGACTTTCGTCGACTGTTCAACTGCGAATTCTCAAGTTCTTTGGACCTCTCTAGAAAGGAAGCTTCCATGGAGAGACTTGTCATTCAAGACCGTGTAGAAGGAAAAAGACCTCGAGGTCGAGCCCACACGCGCAGGATTGACTTCATCACAACACTACGAAAGCCACATTGCTATGCATTGCTAACAGCCGCCTCCAATGGAGGGACATCGCTAGACGTGCGGCTGCCTTGGAAGCGACGACGAGACGCGATCCTGTCCATCGACAGCTACGACCACTCTGCCAAGAGCGTACGACTAAGAGGAAGAAGAAAATGAGAATTGCATCTAAAAACCATGTGTCTCATTTTATAATAATTACCTTCTTAGGTTTCCAAAATAAAAATGATAATCGTACGAAATTTTTCAAATTCAAAGAGTTTTAAAACCAGGCAATAGAAATACACGAATACACAAGAATTTTCTTGACGGTCGTTTGATTTTCGTTTCCTTAAAACGAAGAAAAAAGAAATTTGTGCAACCTTAACGTGCTCAGCAATAGCGGGAACTTAAAGAACAATCTATATTTCACTTACGATCGGTTTGTCCGATCTATGTACAAGTGCTCTATGGTGTTGCGTTTAGCTAACCGCCGGCGCGTATTGATACGCAATGACGTGAAAATTACATCGAACAACGCGAGCGAATCAAATACGCACGTGAGGCGAGCCGCTTGGTACAATCCCTCTGCAATTAATTGGTGAGCTACGGCCTAGTAAAAGTTGCCGAGTCGAATCATTATTGGCTACCCGATTTTGAAATGGACGCTTTACCTTACTTTAAAGGAATTTGATGAACGCACGAGGCGATTGGAAATAAATTTTATTACAATTTCCGATTCAAAGAATTGATATTGGCCTTGCGGTACCCATACCTAAAATAAACCTAACGGGACAGCTTTATTTTAAAGTAATTGGTGGAGTTTTGTTTTTAATAAATAGAATTGTAGTTTTCAATAAAAACTTACGTGAATAAATAAATGTATCACTAGTTACGACATAAATTTTAAAGTTCTTTTTAGTGCTAATCTCTGCACTTAAGATTGAACATTAAAACATGTAGAAAAAGTACGAAAAGATTGTCGCCGCTGTGGGAATCGAACCCACGTCTTCGCCATTCGCGGACTGACGCTCTAGCCACTGAGCTAAACGGCGATAGCCCCAGCGACGAAAATCTTAACGCCTTCTTTCTACATTGTTATTTAGCATTTGAAGCAATGCTTAGTTACAAAATAGCCAGATTATATGTCTTTAAAAGCGTTAGTGGCTTGAGATATAAGATGTCGTCACTTCTTAGGTGCCATCATCTTATCGAATCTTACGAAACATCTGCAATTGTACAATTAATATTTAAGGGTCTCGTACAAAAGCGCTATAATATAAAATTTACGACTTACATAAATATAAAAATTTGGATTTTTTCCAAACGGGCTTTACCTTAGAGTTGAACGTTCTTGTTACTGATTAATACATATATTATACTTAATGATTATAAAAAAAGTATTGATAATGCGCGTATTAAGATATTAAAACCGTAATCATACCAAATGAGTGATAAAGTAATAAAAAAATATGTAAATAAGTTGATCGAAATATAAACAGCTTTTATGAAAATTCCTTTAATCTGATTCGATTTAGACATTGTAATCGAGTCGATCGATTAACCAGTTTAGATCAGTGATCACGATAAAAATTCAATCGAACATTCATATTATATAAGCATCGATGTTTATAGCTTCCAAATATGTTAAAATATAATAAAAATGTAAATTTATACTAGTAGTGTACGCGTGCTAAGCGATCAAAATTCAAATATGGCGCCAATAGTGCTTCGCGACTTTCATATCATCCATTCGTTTTATTGCTCTGCTTTGTTGCTTTAACGTGTTAATGCTCATTTTAATGAATATGTTTTGCTATAAATCATTTAATGCTGCGGATTCGGAATGTGTTTCGTCGATATTCGTTACTGCAAGGCGGTCAAATAAGTGAAGCCTTACGAAATGTGTATTGTCAGCAAAAATTCCCTCAAAGAAATTACACATTTCTCATTATGTGATGATGTGTTCGAAAGGTCCGACCGTGATTGGAAACGTGAAATGAGTAAAAATAATTTTCATTGGCAATTTTACCCTTTGTCCAACTGAGATTCGTACCCGATCTGCTGTTAAAATATAAAACGGCTACGTCTGTATTTATAAAACGTTCCGTTCTCCGCTTCGAGAGCGAAAAGTCGTAATTAGTTGTCTGTTTAGACTGTTAAACCCTTGCTATGTCTCAATAATTGTTTTTGAGCGCGTCGGTCAATACGCGCGCGGGCTTTTTAGGGCCCTCACGACTGACGTCAATTAAATTTGATAGAGACCATTTAGGAGATTGATTAAAAATCGATACAGAATCGATCGGCCGCTCTCGTAATAAATTCAGACCGCTCGACCGTTCCGTGAGGTACGGGCGGAATTTTAAGTTGGCTTTTTTTCGAAGTACGAACGGAGCGCGTTCGGTAACGCTTATTTATTATCGCCGACGTCGTTTTGAGTTTGAGTAAAAGCGAAACGTAACACATGGCTATTTCTTTTTACTAATTAAAACAAAGGAAATATTTGGAATATAATACATACGATGTCAAATCTACAGTGGGTCCGTGAGTGGTCATGGTGGTCTATGCTTTATTACTTTCAGTTCACAGGTGGCCTTTGCCCAGCAGCAGGACATATGATGCTTTCTGTTATTACAATACCTTCTACATTTTTAAAAAAAAAAAGTAAAGTATCAGCCTATACATGTCCCACTGCTGGGCATAGGCCTCCTCTGTACAGAGGGTATCAGGGCATAGTCCACCACGCGGCCCCACTGCAGATTGGCGGACTTCGAATTTTTTTTGTTATTATTTCGAAAATATGCAGGTTTCCTCACGATGTTTTCCTTCACCGCCGAGAACGTGATAAGTCAGCACTTAAAGTTAAAAACTTCATTGGTGCTGGCACCGGGGATCGAACTCAGGTTGCTCGTGTATATTAAATTAAAGGCGAGCTCCCGGATACTGAGCTATCACGGCTCCACATTTTTTTTTTTTTTAATTATTTTATTTCAATAATTGTACAGCCTATACAAGTCCCATTGCTGTGCAATGTACAGAGGATATTAGGGCGTAGTCCACCATTTTCGTAATCAACAAAATAAAATGTGACCCGATTGTGGATTTTCAGATTTCACACATTATCTTAAATATATTTTTTTTGTTATTATTTCGCAAATATGCCTGCCTAGGTTTCCTCACTATATT